CTACCTATGGAAAAAGGCATAAAAGTGAGCAAAACTTCCAAGCCCATATGAGGCAGCAGAAGGAAACACTTTCTGTTGTACAGATTTTTGATAAGTGACACACTAAATTTATTTTTCATTAAAATACAAAACACAGGTATTTGAAAAAAAAATATCTGACTGAGAGGCCAAGAATTGGCGGAATTTGTGATTTAGAAAGAGCACAGGATCACCTGTATTGTCTCATCTCTTACCCCCTTTCCTTCTCTTCCTGAAACAAGAACCAAAGGAAATTCCAGTTGCCCTATGTTGTGATTTAACCCCAGCCAGCCACACAGCCGCTCACTCATGCTCCCCCTGCAAGGAGATGGGAGAGAACTGGACAAATAAAAGTAAAATTTGTGGGTTGAGATGAAGGCAGTTTAATAGGACAGAAAACAAAAGGGTAATAATAATAATAATAATTAGAGTTTGAATATACAGAACAAGTGATAGACAACGCCATTCCTGAGCAGCAGCCCCTGCCTTCCCCACCATTTATATACTGAGCATGATGCCATATGGTATGAAATATCCCTCTGGTCAGTGGAGGTCAGCTGTCATGGCTGTGTTCCCTCCCAGCTTCTTGTGTACTCCCAGCCTACCCACTGGTGAGGTGGTGTGAGAGGCACAAAAGTTCCCAACTTAGAGTAAACACTGCTTAGCAACAGCTAAAGCGTCATTGTGTTATGAGCATTATTCTCATTCTAAATCCAAACCCCAGCACTGTACCAGCTACTAGGAAGAAAATTAACTCTATCCCAGGTGAAACCAGGACATAATAGTACTGGGGGTGGCCAACTGACTGATGCATTACTTTGAGATACATTAACTGAGAGCTATCAAAAGGAAAGGGAGAACTTCTGCTCTCAGGGTCTATGTCCGCCCCCAGCTTTTCCTTCAGACCTCAGCTTTGCTGTTAAATAGTTTTCTCTTGACTGGTAGCAAGGCTTAAAGTGTGAGTAAAGACAAGGCTGTAAGTAGCCCTCCACTGTTTTAAGTATTTCGCAATCATGCATCTTAGAAAGGCGGCCGTGGATGTGTGCTGGAATTCCATCACGGGGCTGAGAGCCCAACAAAATTCAGATATTCTAGTTTCCTTAGGTGTCTGGCATTTAAAATTTTGCTCCAAATCAGAATAGCAGAATTCTTTACCTAGAGAAAGCTCTGGAGAACATTAATTTCAGATCAATGAAAACATGTGATTCAGCTTTTCAAATTTGGTATTATTTCATAATATATAATATAAAAGGAAATATTTTGAAACCAAAACCCATTTTGAAGGAAGAAATTGAAACATGTAGCTTGGAAATGTCAAAATGAGATGTTCCCACACTGTTGGAACATCCCTCCACCACTTACTCTTTTTTAAAATGACATTTTCAGTGCAACTGACACAAGTTTGCAAAGCGCTTCGATTTTGACAGGGTTGCATTTTCCAGTGGAAAGCTGTTCTTTAAGAGGTTTTCCAACCAGCTCCACCAGGAACAGGTGTCAAAGGATTGCAGCAACCTTCCCTTTGCCAGATCCCTAAATTAAAAGCAGTATCCTGGAGAAGTGTCTGGGGTGTGCAAGGCAGGAGGGGTCAGAGGGTGCTCCGCCATGGAGCAGGTTGAGAACCTGATGCTTGAATCGCCTCTGGCCACCCAGGCGTCTTGTCTCCTGTGGAACTGCTATGCTTGTGGGCTGAACTGGCAGTAGCAACTGTGGAGGATTTTAGGGGGAAAAAAATAAAGCCTCTGTGTGTGGGCATGGCTACATGCTCAACACTGCAATTTCCCTCTTTACCATCTGAGTAAGAAGGAAGGATTACCCCAAGATTGGAGTAACGCCCAGTTTGGGATGGGGATCTTCAGCAAGACATGAATGTGGAGGTGGGATGTGCAGTAACACATGCCCTTAAATTCTCTCTGTGAGCTGATTTTAATCCGGTGATGTCCACTGGGTGTGATTTGCCTTTGCCATGGGGATGTGCCCCTCCATGTGGAAGAGAAGTTTAACCTGGTAGGTTCACCCTAAAAGCAAAAGAACCCGACTCTTTCAAAGAATTAAGTAGCCTTAGCCCTCTGAGAAGCCAGTACTTTCTGAAATACATAGCCAAAGAGAAATCTGTTCTGATTTACTGCAGTGTTAAATAAAGTTCTTTTTATATACCACCAACCACTTCCGAATGACCAGACAGACCGACAAATATCAGAAACTCGAGCTGGGCACAAATGAGTTAGCCTTTTTTTCTTTTCCACTTTTCTCACAGGAATGCCTTTTGAAATAATCTCCTTCCTGTTAATTTAACGATTACCATCAGAAAGAGCCAGCGGCGGAAAAAATATAGGCAGTAATTATGATCTTGCAGGCTCACTGTGGGACTAGATGCATGGAAAACAATGGATTGTGAGAATGGGTCGGTGCTCCTTGGCAGATGTACTTCCCTGCATGGAGCCCTGAGATTTTGGGTGCCTCAGGCCTTGGGGGCCCAGTTCAAGAGACCTTCAAGAAGAATACACGCTGTCAGATGGCAGACACACCTTCGGTTGGGTACCCCTGAAAATACAGCCACCTGAAATCTTTAACACTCACTCATGAAGAGTTGGGTGCTTTTCTTCCTGAGAAATGAGGAACACAGCCTGTTCCTCCTCCATGGCTGGATGTGGTGGATGGACTAGTTGATTTCATTCAACACTATATCAAATGGTAAATATTTATCACGATTCTGTATTAATATGTGTGAAGGCAAATACATATTTATGGCACTGCAGAGGCAGAAGCATGCAGAGCAAAGCCAGCTGGATATTACAGCCTTTAAGAATCAGCTGCTGGTTAAAGCCCAGCTTTTATGGATTTGCCCATTGCCCACGGCCTTTGGAGCCATTTCATCCCTCAGAGAAGAGGGATTCCCCAGTACTTCCGAGGGAAGTCGCGTAAGCCCCAGAATAACCCAAAGCAGGACTCAAGAATCGTGAGGAAAAGGGAAATGAACGACGGTAAAACTCCGGCGTTCCACAGAGAAAGGGTTCAGCCTTGAGGGTCGCCTCCAGGCGCTATCACAGACCGAGGCCACCAGCCGCCAGCCCTCGCAGTCCCCCGGGTGCACCAACGTGGGGGCCCCGGGACCGTTCGCCTTAGCACCGGCGGGCAGCGGCCGTGCCGTGCCGGGGCCTGCGACTGGGCAGCGCTGCCTCCGCGGCAAGGAGGCGCCGTCCGGTCCCGCGGCGCGGAGGAGGTGCTGCCGGCTGGCCACACCGGCTGGAGGCCGCGCTCCCCGCTCGGTGGGGCGCCGGCACGACAGGGCTCATCGCTATTAGTCGCCCACGGCCCCACCGCCGGGATAGCGGGGGGGGGCGGGCGGGCGGCGGCGCGAGGGCACGGCCCGGGCAGGACGGGGCGGTCGGGTCCCGCTCTCCGCCGCCGCCCGCCCCCGCGCTGTCCCCGCGTCCCTCCCCCGGAGCGAAGTTTAGCCGGTGCGGCCGCCCGTGTCCCCCGGCGCTGCCCGCGCGTGCGGGGCGCCTCCGCCGCTGCCAGGGCCGGGACAAAAGGCACACGGACACGTGATGGGAGACAGGCTTCATAAATGGGACCGGAGCGGGGCGGCAGGCGGGGGGGGGGTACGCGGCGGCGGCGGCGTGTGCCGGAGCCGCGCCGGGCGCCCCGTGGCTCCCGCGCTGCCTCCCCGCGCCGAGGCGGCGGCGGGCGGAGGCGGCGGAGGAGGGCCGGGGGCGGCGGCCTGGGGGGGGCGGGCGGGCGGCACATGGAGCGGCAGGGCGGCGGAGCGCGGCGCGCTGCCTGAGCAGGGCTAGCGAGGGCGGCGGTGGTCGGAGAGAAGGCGCGGAGGGGAGGCAGCCGCGGCGAGAAGTCTCCCACCTCCTCCTTCCCCTCGCCGGCACCGCCTCCTCGGCGCTCCCCAGTGCCGGGGTGCCCGGGCGGGGCGGCGCTCCCGCTCCCTGCCGGGGGTCGGCGCGGCCGGAGCAGGCGGGGGACGCGGCCGCTGCCGTGCGGAGGGTAAGGAGGGCGCGGGGTGGGTGGGCGGGAGCAGGCGGCGGGTGCCCACCGTCCGGGGGCCAGGTAGCCGTCGTCCCCCTCAAAGTTTGTTGGCGGCGTGGGTAGTGGGGTGCCGGGGGTGACGCTGCCCGCGACACCGCCCGCCCCGACGGCGGAGCGGCCGGAGGAGAGGCGTCTGCCTGCGGGCGCATCCCTCCCGGGAGCCGCCGCCTCTCGCCTTGCGGAGGGGCCGGGGGGAGCGCGGCTCTCAGCTGTGCCCCGGGCATGGCCCCGGGCAGCTGGGGAGAGTTGGCGGGTGCCTCGGGGCCGCTCGGGAGAAGCCGGTGGCCCGGAGCGCGCTGTTTGAGTTCGCGATCCCGGGCGGAGGACGGGGGGACCCCGCTGCCCCTCGAGGGGAGCCCGCGGTGGGCGGGGGGCGAGTGCCGCCGTGGTTAACGCGCGTCTATTCTGTGTGCGGGGCCGGCGGCCTCCCGGGTTCCCACAGGACCTCATCTGACATCGGGAGTTTCTCCTGTCGTCCTCACCCACCGGTGATGTACAGAGGGTGGCATTCACCCCGGTTTTCCTGTGCACTTCTCCTCCCAAAACTCTGCCGTGGAGGCTGGAACCGGAATAAAAGGCGGTTCGTGATTTTTGTGCGCAGTGATGTTCTGTTAGAAGATGTCACTTTAGGCATCCGGCATCTTCAGAATACCCCAGTAGGGTTTCTGGTTGGTTGGCTGGGTTTGTGTTTTGTTTTTTGTTGTTGTTTTTTGTTTTTTTTTTTTGTCTGAAATTCGGAGGTCTGGGGGGAAAACAGCCGAAAAAGAGTGAGCTTTTTAAACTTAACTCAGTGTTTGTCATGCGAAATCTTCAGCTGCTGAGAAATAATTAAGAGTAACCAGATGGGCTTATTTTAAATGGGCATCTTTTTGTCTCAAAGACGTCTGCAAATCTCCATTGAGAGCACCCCTGGATGAGGTACGTACCAAGCCTTTGGTAGGAGAGAGCTCTTGACTGCGTTTTCAGTCTGATTAAGTAAAATGGTGTCAGAAGATGAAGTCCATAGTTTTCTTCTTTCTCTAAAATTACCATCAGTGTTATTTTCTGTATGGCAGCAACTCATCATATGAACAGTTTTGTTTGTTATGTTTTCTTCTTTCAGAAAATAAAGGGGTATATATAACATAAAGCCAGATATCAAAATACTCCTTCTTGAGTATCTACAAGTTTGGCTGTTTTTAAAATTACCCATAGTGTGGCTTCTTTTACCTGTTAAAGGTGTAGTAATGTTTTTTTTCTGGGTTGGTTTTTTTTTCCCTTAGGTGTATCATCTTGTTTTCATTGTTATTGTTCACCTTTTCTTAAAGGAACATAGCGTTTGCTGCTGGGGTAGCCTTGCTGTTCATATGTACCAAAAATCATGCAAAGGATCAGAGGCTGATATTTAGCATGATATTTAGTAACAATATGTGCAACATTGCAAAAATTACTTGGGTGTGCTTAATGCTCTCGAATTACACCTCATACAAGCTGCCAGCACAGGTTTTCCCTTCTCAAGAAAGGAAGAAAAACGTGCGACTATAGTAGGAATATTTATTATGCAGGCAGAGTTTATTAAATCAGCCATAAAAGAAATGAACGCAACATCTTTAACAGTTTAGAAGATGAATGTGTAATTCCTGATTTGCTTGAGGTTAAAATTAGTTTTGTAGCAACCAGGAGCAGCTTTGCTTTATTATCTGTTGGTCTTTGGAATGAGAGGCAGAACCATTTGAATAAAAACATTTTAAAGCAGAATTGATAAAAGCAATTATTCTCTGACTGAGCCAGCAGGCATCTATTGCCAGGAGGAAAAAAAGAAAAAGTTGGCTACACAGAGAAATCAGCTGTTTGCTGTGAATTTAAATCGTTGACCATTTGATAACACCTAAACCCACAGTAATCAAATCAAAATACCTATAAAACTCAAGGTGAAGGTGGAAGCAGGTTATAGTGTGGTGAGGATGAGCTGGTGGGCGCCTTTGATCCTGGCTGTTGTTCTTTGGTGAATTATGTTAGCTCAGTGGCATAAAGGACCCCATTAAAGGCTTTCATGCTCTGCTGAAGTAATGGCAGGTCTGAGCCAATGCAAGCCTGCCTGTTCCTCTCTCCCTTCACAGGTCTCTGATTGGGCAGTGGAAGTTTAGAAATTAAATAACTTTTTTTTTTTAGTAATTTCTGACTTTCAGCCTGTAGTGTGGCCATTCCAAAATGCTTGGAGACTTATCCCATTGGGAGTTTTGGTAATGAAGGTGTTACGTGCTCAAGTGAGAGCTGGGATGGCTTTCATTTATACTGAGTAGAGGCAAGTGAGGAAGTTAAGAGGCAAGGAAGAGCCCAAACCCAGATATTCATTTAGTATTGCCCAAGATTTTTACCAATACATCGCCATTCATGGTTCTGTAGGTCTTGTCCACTATCTTCCACTCACCTAGTTTCTCTGCATGTTCCAAGAAAAATTACTGTAACTTCTCCAATGCAAACTTTGTGACCTCTCTGGTCATGCAGTTGGCTACCCAGGCATCTGCAGAATTCATTTTTCTCAGTGGCAGTTGCTCTTCATTTCTCTGCAGATGTCTCTGTTGGCTTTATCTGAGCCTCCTGAAACAGTAAATGATTTTAGGCGTGTTTCACAAGTATTTTAGGATGAGTGTTCTACAAAACCACTCATCGACCATTTAAGTGAGAATCTGGAGGTTTTTCTCTTCTCTAATAGCAAATTTGCACACTCTGATGCTGATTTAAAATATGTACTGTGGGCGACCCTAACGCTGGGATTTGCCCAAGTTCAAAGCAGCTGTGCAGATGGACACAGAAGGCAGAGGGAAATAGACCCTTTTAATCATAACAAGGCTGCTCTTATTTTCCTATCTTTAGTGGAAATGCATGCCAGACCCTTGTACTTAAAAGCAAGCTGCAAATGTGCCAGAATAGACAGCAACGGCATTTGTTATTAATGCAAAGTTGAAAATGTGACAGCCCATCTTCTCAGTAGTGCTCTTTATGTCTCCATATCTAGACTGTACTGCTGCAAAAAGTGCACATCCGATCACTGTTGGTGGGGTGAGAATCCCCCCTCCCCAGAACTCAGGCTCTTTGAAAGTGCATGGCTCTGTTAATGATCGCTGAAACCAGCCACAACCTGTCCTTTTGAAATGGTTATAATGACTTATAAATCAATTTCTCGTTAGAACTTCTTTTTTTTTTTTTTCCTTTTTCCCGAAGGTGCCATTGTTGCCCATGAAAAATGATTGGGTTTGCAACATAAGGTTGGAGCACATTTTATTCTGCCATTTGTGCCTCATGCAGGGGCATTATGGTGATGAACACCAAGCCCAGTTCTGCCTCTCTGCAGTAGAAACATCCTTATTTCATAAAGCTACCCACATCCAAATTACAGATAAAATAGGTACTTCACTATTCTGTGTGTTAGTATAACGTCACTCCTCATACTTTGGCTGAACTGTTTGTGAAACTGGGTGTTTTAACACATTTCAGATGTTGTCTTGTTTGTGTAGATTGAGGCTAGATGGCATCAAATAATACCTCATCCTGCGTTAACCTGTTTTATGGCAGTTGTATATTCTCAGAAAAGGTGTGTTAACTCTCTACAAAGTACTGAGCAGGAGCAGTTTCACAAGGGATGCTGTTAGTTCCCTTTCAGCCCTGGAGGAGTCATTTTCATCTTAATGAATTTTAGGAAGCCTCTTAAAGTTTGTGCTTAGGGGCTTGGGGAGCTCCCACATTCCCATTGTGGTGACTATGTGAAATGTGCTTTTGGAAGTCACTGGGTTTAGCCAATTCTGCCTCTGTTTTAAGCAATGCAGTACCAGAGTCCAAACTGTGCATGTACCTGGCAAATTAGGCAGCATAGGTTTGGAGTGTGTATCTAAATACCTATATGTGTGTATACATGCAAAGTCTTTTTTACAGGTTCTCAGTGATAGGTGTACTCAGTTTAGATTCCTGCTTTTCCCCAGGAACACTGTGCGTACAGGATATAAGAAAGATACTAAGTGGTCATCTTGCCTATATTTTTTGTACTTACACTTCTAGCTAGCTTTTTTGTCCCCTGGCACTGGGAATTTGAATTTATGCATGACAAACTCTACTGCAGCATTTGTGAGATTTTACTTGTTCTTCTAGGCATGTGTATGGGTTTGTCTATGTCTGTAAGCTTATGCATAGAAAAGATACACATGCACTCACATAAAAAGTCATAACTCATTGCTCAGTATCTTTTAACTGTTTTTCTAAATCTGGTGTAATACTTTTTTGTTTGAGTGTCTGCCATTTGTTGCTCTGGCTACTCAGATATCAGATTCTGCTGTAATTCTTTCTCACTTCTCCTCTTCTCTCCCTCTTTCCTTTTATTTTGTAAAAAAAAAGAAGTATCTGCATATTTCGAAGACATGCACCATTGCCAAGCAATCTGGTGTAGTGGCTTAATATGCTGGCAAATAATTTCACAAGTTGTTTGTGTGTGTGAAGGCAGTATATTTGAATATCATTATAATCTCTGAGCTTATTTAAATTTTATGAAAGGCCAGACAGCTCCAGAAATGAAAAAATGCTTTACATTTTTTAATTGGAATGCATATTTTTGTCCTTCGCTAATGCTGATGGCATGGGACATTGCATTTGCCATAAGCCTTACTCTTCTAGCTTATGAACATGGCCAGTACTTGGTGGCCTGATAGCAGTTTTCAGGAGAAGCAGACTCGTGAGGACTGAGGTAGAAGGGATGTTGCTTTGCAGTGTGTTGTTGGCCTTCTGTGTACTAACTTTCTGTCATTGCCTGTAAGCACCTTTTTCCGTTCTGGTGTGTTTACCTGCCATATGGGTCACTGGCTGTATTTGAGCATTCTCTCTTCCTTTCCACTTCTGAGGTCTGTGTGCTACTTTTGTGCTTAAGCAGTTTCATTTTTATTAATGTCCCTGGCCAGATTTGCTCAACTGATCTCACCTGAGTGTCCCCAGCTTGGTCCCATGTGTCAGCATGCACAGCACCGTCCTTTCCTCTGACCTTACTGAGGATGGCTTCTCTGAGCCCTTTGCATTTTCCTTCACCGTTTGAATAAGATCAGAAATGGACTTTCAAAAGAGCACACTGGTGCCTGCAGAGCAGTGGGTCTATTCTGTCTTTATGGTGAGATCTGAAAATCCCACTAGCTATATCCTTCAGATTACAGAGCTGTCTCTGAAGTTCGCGTAGCTTGGAAGACGAGGGAGGTTTTTCTCCTGTGAGTTTTCTCCTTCACCTGATCTGCTTTCCCCAAGCTGATCACAAAGGCAGTTCTCTCTCCTTAAAATCTGCATCCCTACCTCCCAGGGGCTCCGTCTACTTGTGTCTCCCTCTCTTTCCTTGTTTGCTCCCATCTCACCTGGAGATGTGCTGTTCCCTGTATGAGGACAGTGGTTATTTCTCTTGCCAGTCCCCATCACACCAGTGACTTAACCAGCATTACCTTTGCTCTCAGCATCTCCTTGTTACCTCAGAAAGTCTTGGATTAAAACTTGTTATGACCATAGTTTATTGCAGAGGTTAGGATGCGGCAGACAATGCACTCTGTGCAGTGTACGAGCATTGTCCCTGGAGCCTAATGGTTTTGCTACCTTTCTGTCTCTAATCCTGACTCTTCTTAAAAAGTTCACTAATATTTTCTGCTGCACCAAATTCTTGATCTTTTCTGTTCTCCTCTGGCCATTACATGGAAGCTGTTTTCTCTGTATATTTTTTTTTCCTAATAAATGTATTTTTTCCCCCATTTCCATTCTCTAGGCGATACATTCTTCTGGGGACCTTTAGCATTTGGCATCCAGTGGAGCCTGGGTCTTTCATGTCCTGCTCTGCTCTTTCAAATGACTTCTCTCCCTTCAACTACACGTTGTGTGTTAAGCTGCTGTCTGTTCTAGGTACTTCCAGGAGACTGAGTGTTCAGACCCCATCTCTTTTGCACCCAGCTGGGCTTCTCTGTCTCCATTTAGTATTTATGTCAGTTCTGCTCAGCAGTAATAAGTGCTTGCACCTTTTGACATTAGAGAATGTCTAGAATAAAGAGGCTGGAAATGAAGCAGTTTCTGTTGGAATATTGAAATCCAAGATAAATCCTTTTTTACTTTTGTGAAAAAGAAAAAGTTTGAGAGTTAAAAGTTTAATGAGTTCTCTTCATTTTTCTTTAAAATGTAAATACCAAAGCATTGAATCAAACTTTTCATACTACCTGCTTACTCAGCTTTATTGGGAAATAGGTCCCTAAACTGGAGCTGATTTTAAGCAAATACAAGCTCACTCTTGCTTTCCTCTGAGCCTTTCATACTTAAGAAAGCCTCTTCATTCTCCCTTCAAAGTCTGTCTTTAGATGAAATTAAGATATACAAAGTAATCTGTGAAAGACCTTAAAATCCCACATTGTTTTAAGATAGCCACCTCCGCTTTCCCTCCTTTCTCACAAAAGCCAGGCAGACCAGGTAGCTGTAGTTTCCCATTAACGTGACCCTGACGCTCCCCTTGCTGGTTTGTGACTCCAATACTTCATCTTGTCTCCGACTTGGTAGGAAATGTGTGCGTAGGGGCTTGTATTTCACAAGCTGAGAGCTTTTGAGTAAATTCGGGAGCTTTGGCGGTTGTTCAGAGGCAGGTGGGGCAGCTGTCCCTGCTTTTACCCCTGCGGTTGGGTGGCTTGCGAAAGACACATCCTTCATTTGCTTGATTCAGAGACAGGGCTTCAAACTAAGCCTCTCACTTGCTAGGTGTGCACCCTGCTTGCTGGAGTATTAGTTAGTGCCTTTATTTCTGGATGTTTAACTCCCGATCCAACATGGAACAGCTTGAGCAATTTAGAGGCTGGAAGCAGAATGGAGGGGCTGCCAGAATGCTTGCCTGGCTCACGGGAGAGCAAAGTTTGGGTCCTTCACCTGTGCCAAACAGAGCAGGAATTCAACCTCACCTTTGAACCTCTCTGATGTTAAACACACATATATGCCCTGCCTGTCCGGGAGGTAAGGCACAGCTCCTTTTGACCTGTGCCTGCAAGTCACCTGTGCTAAAACCGGTGCACACATCCACTTCCCCAACGAAACTCTGCGGGGGAGGAAATAATGATACTGCTTTTAAAAAAACATTGTTGGCTGCTGATTAACTCTTTGTTCTGTTTTTGTCATCCAGATCTTCAGCTGCTGGATGCGGGGGGGTGTCACGCAGGGGTAATTTTGTCCCCAGTTTAGAACTGTCCAGCCCCTATCCTGCTAATGTGCAAATGGTATGTTAATTAACATAAATAACTATGTAGCTGTGGTTTATTGCTAATTAGGGTTCAACTTCCCAAAGATACCATCATGATACATAAGAACAGCGTTTGGGTCAGTACTTGCATGCCCTAGTTTACCCCGCAGCTGGTAGTGCCTTGTAACTTGAAGATAGCATCCGTCATTTGCTTCTTTCCTAGTATCTGTGCTCCTTCCCAATCCCTCACACAGAGAAAATTCCCACTGAAGTGAATGCAGGTTTTCCTGATTTAGGAGTAAACGGCATATTTGCCATTTATAGCCTAGGAGTACCACAGCGTTTGAGATGGAACAGTAAACCATCAGTAAATAGGATAGGGGTAACATTGCTTTCACATCATTGTCAACACATGTTTTTTCCTTGCTTGGTGTCACTGAGTCTGAAAGTGTCATTTCTCAGACTGTGCGTTTCTTTATCCAAGGCTTAGAAACCTTGTTCTGTCCTCGAAGCAGTGTTGTTCATTGCCATATGGGATAAGGTAATTATTAGCCAAATAAATTTCCATTTTATAGGACAGTTCTAATTCCTGGAGGCCAACAGTTATTACGGTAGCTCTCATTTCTCTCCAGCTTTTTCAGCTGACTATACACAAGTATAAATTACTGCTGTTTCTGCCATGGTAGTGCTTTGTGGACCCAGTTTGGTAGGAGTCCCAGTGTACTGGGCATCACACAAACTTGTCAGAAGCCCTCCTCTGAAGGACTTACAAACCTTATAATGTGTAAGCAAGGAGAAAGCATTTATGTATTTTTGTGCATTCAGAAACTTTCAATTATACTTATTTGTCCTTTAGCCTGCTCTTAATTAGCTGTGGGTATCATAGAAGAAATGTATAGGCATGGAGATCAAAATGTTTTCTGAACTAGAAGCTAGAAAGGTTTGATTGTGCATTTCCCCTCCTTGTTTTGATTCCTTTTCTTGCCACATAAACAGTTTTGCAGTTATCAGTAGCATCATTGTATTGCTCATAATTACTTTCTGAGGAAGAACACAAATATTCACTGTTTCTATTCAGGCTATTAAAATTGCTCTATCAATCATCCTGGGTTGAAAATTATAATAAATTCAGCCTTTTTTTTAGACACCGATAAAAACGTTCCAGCCTTCCCTCTCCCCCAGAACAGCAGGAGAAGATAGGTAATAGCATTTTAATGAAGTCACGTTCTAGTTCCCCGAGTGAACTGGTCCTGTGGACCAACAAGAAGTCCAGGGGAGGTACGTTTCTCCCCTGGAGATGAGTTACCAGCCTTTTATGAATTACATATGTTATATTTTACTTAAGGGGTCTTTATATTCTGGTAGCATTTGAGCTTCTTTTAAGGCTCTATGTAACCACACAGTGGAGAGCAGTAGTAAGACTTACCCATCAACTCGTCACTAATTGTTTCACTTTGAGGGCAAGCCCTTACAAAGGCGTGTCTTCAGCTGATGTTTAACACCTCGTATGATTGAACCCCGATAAAGCAGGCTGGGAAAAAAAGGGCAAGAGGAAATTAAATCCAGGTCTCTGCAGACAGCTAAGCAGTGTGCTTGTAAAAGCCACTCCATCTAGTGGCAGTCACTTTGCACAGCTGGTCGGGCAGTGCCCATCAACCCATTGATGGGAGAAAAATCTAAACGTTCAGCTGTGTGTTTTCTGGTTTTGGTCTTCAGGATAAAAGATGGTTGAAATTTTTATCTATTGTTTAACCCTTGTCCATAATCATAATTCATTACTTAGTGTGTATTGCTGCATGCATTCATGGAAATACATCAGTAATTTTGTGTGCCAGCATTAGCACAGGCTCTTCCACATCTTTAATTAATGTTTCAGTTCTTTTTAACTGTTTTAAAATGAGTGAGGTAGTGGAGCTCCTTTAAGGAAGGGACAAAGCTGAGAGCTTTAGAGATTCAAAGGCTCTGTTGGAGGAGTGGATTCCGGCAAGGCAGGGGGGCTTTTCGTTTGCAGAGCAAAGAGTATCTCCCTCACTGTCGCCCTGCCCATGAAACGACCTTGCTGGGGCACGTGGCCATCGCTTCGGTCCCATCCAGAGAGGAGGGGTCTTCTACAGAAGCTGTGAGAAGCCACAGAGGCTTACAGTGTATTTAATGTAGAGATGGTCTTGGGTCTTGGGCAGTATGGGTTTGGTCTGCATTGAAGCCAGCTGCAAAGAACAGTGTGGCCATGTGTTGTGGGGTGTCCTGTTTCCTTGTCAGTGCTTGCTTGCCACTCCAGGTTCCAACAGAAGAGCTCAGAGCCAAAACTTGTGTGGCCCTGCCATGTGCACCTGATCAAACAAAATGACCAAGAACCAATCCACTGCTTCTGCTGCTGGCTCTTCAGTCAATGTCAAATTGTGCAACACCTGAGACTGGGACCCTCCTGATAACCACAGTGCCAAAGGTCTAGTCTTGGTTTTACTAGACAGCCATGGAAAACTTTGCTGATTGCTTCAGTGTCCACAAAGTTTCAGTATTGTAGCTTATACTGGGACAAGATACTGTCTAAATTAAAATAAACCAAATTCCAGCAAAGTGCAGTTCCAGATTCGGCGAATGGCTGTTTTACTGCAACTTTAATAAAAATCAACTGCTACTTGAATAGGTGCACGCACACATACTGCTAGATATTTCCAATTATGATATTCCCAGCAGCAAACAAAAACAAAATTAATGTCAGCTGCATCCCCCAAAGCCTAAGCTACACCACTAATGAACTCCCAAGTACTCTCAAAGAAAACTCTCTTTGCAGAGACAATAAGGTGGAAATTACTGTAATAATCTCAATGTAAAAATACAGAGGGAAAAAAAAATCATTGACATTCAGAGTAAGGCTTGCCTCTCCTGATCCCATTAACCATGTTGTTAGCACAGCATATGCATGCATAGCGATATTGTCACATAACTCACTGCCACCTTCAAAAGAGCACACAGGAATTCGTGTTCTTTCATTTGTATTTCAAACAAAAGTAGGGGTTGTACGGGAGTTTGCACCTTATTCTGAGGAAGTCTGTACTTAACATGACTCCAGCAGGGACCAGCTACTTCAGAACAATTTGTTTGTCTGTCTAGCAGAAGTGCTCAGTTGCATACAATTTTTGAAGCTTTACTCAAACATAATCTTCTCGACATGGGGCTGTGTCTTGAATCATTAAAACGGTTGTCTGTCTTCTGTCAGGAGTAGGCTGGAATAACAGAGAGTGCGACAGCCATCTTTATATGTTTATAGGACTACTTGATCTATTTAATAACTTTTTTTGATTGTTTTCAAATGAGTAATGTGTTTTTCACTTCTGAATCTGAACTGGTGTTAATAATGCCAAGCTTAAAGTTGCAAGACTTCACCCAAAGCAGATTTGTCAGTTGTCAGCAGGGTCATTTTTGCAACACATAACATCTGCAAATTCTACTAGGAACAGATGTGAAGTACCTTCTGGAAGAAGAGTACCTCGCGTATTAGATGATGGCTGCTCATTTTTAATGTGCGCTTCAGTGACATTTCCCTCCCTCACTGCTCACACTCTCAGAATTAAATTTCTTAGTATTGTCTGTCTAATAATGAAGTTGTTATTTGCTGAGCAAATTATGTCAGCAAAAGCTGACACAACCAGTATGTGTTGTGTGTTGGACCATCCTGGTAAGGTTTACTTATACTCATCCTTGTTCGCAGCACTGCAGTTGCATTATCTTCTGGAGATCTAGGTTCGTATCTTCCTTTTAACACTTGAATGTCAAGGCCTGCTGAATCAAATGCAAAACTGTAAAGTACTGTGGAAAAAGTCTTAAGTGTTCAGATGCTATGTTTAAGTGCCGTAGAAATATTTCAGCAGCCAAATGATCTCTGCTTCTTTTGGAAATGCTCAGTATTTCTTCCGGTTTTGAGTACTGATATTGTTGTAGAGAGGAACCCTTTTCTCTTTCTTTTATTTTTCATGGGAAAACTCAGCTGAGGTACCTGTTGTGCACTTCCCATCTTAGGAGTTGAGGTGATCAATACGCTGGGGTTCGGCAGATAATCTCTCATGGCCTTTCTGGCCGTTTATTGTCAGTTGTGTAAAGTGAACAGGTTAAGTCGGTACAAGCCTATATATAGCATCTGGGATTTCTTGAGTGTCACAATTTCCTCCATTCTCAAAACATGAAGAACTTGGGTTTGCTCGTGTTGCTGGTGCAATCATCGGGATGACTCATAGCAGATGTAGAATAGCTGTAGCACACCGAAGCAATGATTATGGCTCTTATTTACATTCAGACCACTCTCAGCCACTCTGGCAGTGGAAGGGGGCCCCAAAGCAGATGTTCAATGCATATTCAAGGCATGTTACATGGGCAAAGTTATATAAAGGAGCACAGCATAAGAACAGCTATAAGGCCTGTCTTACATATTGATGCATGTAAGATGCTCAGATGCTGATTAGAGTGTTATCCCAAGGTTACACTGTGCAATTAACCACCATCTGTGAGCAAAGGTTGGGTGTGATGGGACTCAGAGACCACTGGCTACCAGGGGAGCTTCTGCTTGGGTCCCCATTTCTGAGGGGACGCAATGTTTTTGAGGGTGTCGCCAGTGGGACGAATTACATTTCTTTGCTTCTCAGAGGAATAGCAGCTCATGGTCCCTTTTGCCTGGAGTTTTGGCCAGAGGTGCGCTCTGCCCCAAACTTGGTGCTGTGTTTGCTCCAGTTGAAGCTTTTGATCTATGCAGAATGGATCAGACTGATGCACTCACTGACCTAGCAGTGCTGGTCACCTTTTCTGAAACTAAACAGGGCTGGTTAACAACCCACCTCCCCCTTACAGCCCAAATATCCCAGTAGCCTTAGTTTGCTTAGCAGAAGGAAGGAATAGAGTAATGAGGCCTGTATCTGTATATCAGGTACCTTGCTAATAAATTCTCACTAACAAATTCAGGATGTTAGGAGACCTCAGATTGCTGTGGCAGGGTAATGTGAATACACAGGCATCCTGGGTGAACTGTGAAACTTACGAGTGCATGGCTCTTTCCTCGTTCGCTTTCTGTTACCAGGTTTTCAAAACCCTGGGTGCCTTTTGAAAGGAGAGTAGTGAAGCCTGATGATTCAGTTTAATGATGCTCCTGCAGTGGCACTTGGTATTTAAATGAAACGTGCCCAAGGAATATTGGTCTGCAGGGTACTTTGCAATCAGAAGCCAAGTTCAGATCTAGAGAAAAATATCTTTGTGGTGGAGCAGCTCAGAAGGTTTTGATGAGAAATGAAAATTACTTTCCTGTCAAGTACTCAATTCCCTGTGCCTCTGTTTTTCATGTCACTTCCTAGAGTAATTCAGTTTTAGTGAAATCCAGGTGATTTCTTTTCTAAGTGTTCAGCTCACCCTGATTCCTGCAGGTGGCAAAGCTAGACTGAATACAAGAGAAAGGTCGATTTTGTTTGACACAGTTCAACTAAGTTGTGGAGTTTGTCTCCCTGTTCATCTTAATGAATTCTGACCTTTTCCCCTTCTAGGATTTCCTCTGATGCATTTTTCCGTGCCTCGAGTCTCTCTGAAACCAACAAGACTGGGGTTATGAAGTCAGTCCTAGATGGCCTCGCAGATACAACTTTCCGAACAATCACAACAGATCTCCTTTACGTGGGCTCCAACGATATCCAGTACGAAGACATGAAAGGCGACATGGCATCCAAGCTGGGATACTACCCCCAGAAGTTCCCTCTCTCTTCCTTCAGGGGTGATCCTTTCCAAGAAAAAATGACTGCGGGAGATGATCCCCTGTTGAGCATTATTCCCTCAGATCAGGTTAACATCACAGAGTTTTACAACAAGTCCCTGTCCACGTTTAAGGATAATGAGGAGAACATACAGTGTGGGGAGAACTTTATGGATATGGAGTGCTTTATGATCCTGAACCCCAGCCAGCAGCTGGCCATCGCTGTGCTGTCACTCACCCTGGGCACCTTCACGGTCCTAGAGAACCTCCTTGTCCTATGCGTCATCCTCCACTCTCGAAGCCTCCGGTGTAGACCCTCCTACCATTTCATCGGCAGCCTGGCTGTGGCCGATCTCCTGGGCAGCGTGATTTTTGTCTACAGTTTTGTGGATTTCCATGTTTTCCACCGGAAGGACAGCCCCAACGTCTTCTTGTTCAAACTGGGTGGAGTTACAGCCTCCTTCACCGCGTCCGTAGGTAGTCTTTTCCTCACGGCAATAGACCGGTACATATCTATACACAGGCCACTAGCTTACAAAAGGATTGTTACCCGACCAAAGGCTGTTGTAGCGTTTTGTGTGATGTGGACCATCGCTATTGTAATAGCCGTTCTTCCTCTGCTTGGCTGGAACTGCAAAAAGCTCAATTCTGTTTGTTCAGACATATTCCCTCTCATCGACGAGACGTACCTGATGTTCTGGATCGGGGTCACCAGCGTCCTCTTGCTGTTCATTGTCTATGCCTACATGTACATACTGTGGAAGGCGCACAGCCACGCTGTTCGCATGATTCAGCGGGGCACGCAGAAAAGCATCATCATCCAGTCTACGGAGGATGGTAAGGTACAGATCACTAGGCCTGATCAAACTCGTATGGACATCAGGTTAGCCAAAACCTTGGTCCTTATCCTAGTCGTTTTAATCATATGCTGGGGCCCTCTGCTCGCCATCATGGTGTACGATGTCTTTGGCAAAATGAACAAGCTCATCAAAACTGTCTTTGCCTTCTGTAGCATGCTCTGTTTGCTGAATTCCACAGTGAATCCCATCATCTACGCTCTGAGGAGCAAGGACTTGCGACACGCCTTCCGCAGCATGTTCCCCACCTGCGAAGGAACCGCGCAGCCCCTCGACAACAGCATGGAGTCTGACTGCCAGCACAAACACGCCAACAACGCAGGGAACGTGCATAGGGCTGCCGAGAGCTGCATTAAGAGCACAGTTAAGATTGCCAAAGTTACCATGTCTGTCTCCACAGACACGACTGCTGAAGCATTGTAAGTCAGAGACTTCTCAGCCTTGTGAGAAAAGGAGTTAGTTTAAAAAATAAAGATTTAAAAAATCAACAACAGAGAAAACCAAACCTGTGGCTTAAAGTGTTTGTACCCTCCTGTAGTATTTCTTTGGTTCGTCATTGTAAGCTGAGCGATGATTGTGTTAAGAACATTACCATCAGCCAGTTCTTCAGGTTTTGCAATTAGGGATTCAAGCTAGATTTTCAAAAGTGTTTTTCTCAGAAAGTGTTTACTGAATGATAGGATGTTTCCTGAAAGAACACAGACAAAATACCAGGTTAGACAAAATACCAGGTTCCTTTGGGGGTGTGAAATAAAATGGTGAAGCCTAATTGAAAACTAATGCGTCCTAAACCAATGCCATCAAGTAAGAGAAAAAGCTGTGTAATCATGCTGTTCATTTCAATGTGAAGTGTATTTCATGTCTATAAGTAATAGGAGGTTTTGATTTTTTCCAAAAGCGGCAGTGTTGAGTTTTAGAGGTTTTGTAAAACGTGTTGTGTCCTGTGAATTGTGTGCTGTTTTATTCTGTGTTATTGATATTTGTCTGATAAACAAAGTGATAAGGTAGACTTCCGTGGAAATAATGTGAAACGTGATATGTAAACCCCATTGAAAACACTTACTGTATTTGAAGAATTCCTATGAGCTATTTTGGAAATTTTACACTTTAGTGGTCTTCTGTGGACTTAGAGGAGAGGGTTTGTGTTCTTCTACTAAATCGTTTCCCCACTACCTTTTACTTTCACACGCATATGAGAGTAACAGCAACAAAGGAATAGAGGAGGAATGTAAGAAAGGAATGCACTGGTTCAGACTTTTAAATACCACTGCATTTATACAGAAGGACGTTTATGGTTGTACAGACTAGTGCCCTGCTCTTGGGCATTGCATGAATATGAACACTGAGAGGTGGAGGTCCTGGATATTGGCTCCCTTAACATGCAACTGGTTTTTAGCCACGTGCTGGTGCTGGACCACTGAAGACAGCATGTGTCAGACTCAGTGTGTGATGTTATCACTGTGCAGTCGTTGTATACTTGAATTGTGTCGCATTCCTGTATCCCAGGTTTAAGCAGATGCAGAGCCTGAGATGCCAAACTCCCATCTTCACTAAAAGAGGAGGAAATACTGTCAGACATTTTCTTATTGTGTGAGCGTGTATATAAATAAATATCTGTGTGTGTTCGTGTGTGTGTGTGCGTGTGTGTGTAAGTACACTAATCAGTGTAAGTCATGGTAGCACAACTAAGATAGGACACTGACCAAATGTAAACTGTATTTCTTGTTGCACGCTTTGCACATGAATTCTGTTTCTAAAATTGAGTTCTTCCAACTGATTACTGGTGAAAGTACCATATTAAGAACATCCTGATCCACTCTGAGAGTTGTATCCATGTGCTAGAGGAAGCAGTCTTTCAGTTGTATTTGGGAATAAGGGGAAACAAGAGGCAGAGCATGGCATGAGCCCGCACTAGCAACTGCAGTGGCTGTAGATGGTGTTTCTGAAAACTGAAAAAGCCAGAAATAAATATTAATCTTTTTTAAGGCTATCAGATTGCTCAAAATGAGGTGAGTCTCACTGTGAAACTAGGATACAGATGACAAGGTTTGACACTATAGCTTTGAGGAAGAAGTTATTGAAGGAAAATGATGACTCTTAAGTAGCATGATTGTTTTCTGCAGCCTGGGACTTTCATGAAGAGCACGTTACCGGATAGTCTCCGAATAGCCTTTGAGGCATGAATATTCTGTGGTTCTGTCATGAATCAGAAGGCCTGGGGTCCTCCTCTCTGCTGCCTTTTTTTGGCCATTTCCTTGCCCTTCTTCTGGCTGATTTCTGCAAAATAGCTGCAAAGGAGGCTTAGCCTGTTGGCTGCCTGTTGCTTGCTGCAAGAGGGTGGCTCCCACTATGGCACCGGGTAAGAAGAGCCAAATCCATGCTGCCATGCCATCTGTCCTCAGGGTTACATAGGGAGAGAGAGGGGGATGGCACCCCTGGGTCTCTGGCCTCAGTGGTGTCCCCACGGCATTTCTGATACTTCAGAGCAGAGCAGCAGGTAGCACGGGCAGCCCAGCTAATGTCAGCCAGTGCCTCTGTGGAGATGTTAAAGTGCCTCCAAGTTCAGGCTTAGTGAAGGCTGGCACACTTCAAAGATCTCATCAGGCAAGGTGGAAGACACAGAGGTACTTTCCTTCTCTACCCACCTCCCCTGCAGCTTACCCCGGTGGTAGGACAAGGCACCGTGCTCTTGGCAGGCCATGGCAGTCAGCCAAAACTGGCAGATTGCAAAGGATTCCTAGAGGATGTGCAAGTCCTCCTCCTGAAAGATCTTTCTTATATCTAGGCCTAGTCCATCCTAATGCAGTCCTCTTGGAGGAGGGTGGGGGGAGCCTATTTGAAATGTAAAGGTATTTTAAGAGCCATTTTTGAAACTGTCTTCTCGTGAATTAAATGCAAACTTAGTGGATTTTCGTTGTGCATTCAAGTTCTAAATTTTACATGATCAATCATGGGACAATGGGGCTGTCTTGGCACTTAACTTGGTGCTTACTGATATAATAAGAAATAGCATCTTGTGAAATGTTACCATCTATCATCAGTATCTTCGTTTGCATAATGAGTTTTTTTAAAGCTCTGGAACTGCATCGGTTCACTTGAAACCATTTATTAAAGAGGTGGCAACAATTTCCCTACATGTTGCATACTAAGTAGAACAACTCTTAAATTAGAAATATTTGCTGCCATTCCAAGATAAGCTGTACTTGAACTTCAGCTTTAGGTATTCCTAATTTGCAGTTGCCTACCTTCACTTAGTGATAGCGCAGCCAAATGATTCTGTGTTCCGCAACCACCCACACCGTCATCATCAATCAACCAGCAATAGTTGCAGTTACCTATCTGTACCATCCCCAAGTGTTGCATATGTACTGAGAAGACCATCTATGTCACATGTGTGCAGAGTTAGATTCTTAACAGTGTAATTGTATATTTGTATAATATTATCTCCTCGATGCTGTGCAATCACTATCCACATCTTCTTGCACTGGCCTTCCGATGAAAATGTTAGTGTGTCTATTGTGAGATAGACAGCACATTTTACCTGCTGTTATTGGGCTGAATGTATGTAAATAAGCAAAAAATAAAAAAAGTCATCTGTACAAGCAGTGGCCTAAAAAGTCTGTAATGGTAGACTAGGACGGTTGTTGAAGTTGCTGTGACATCTCAAATACTACCTTTGGATAAACTGTTTACAGGGTTTCTTAGGATGCTGTTCATAGTGAAAGGAAACTTTTTCCTTGTGATAATATAAAGTAAAGAAATTGGATTACCTGAGCTTTTTATTTCCAGTGTTTCAAAGTGGAGAACATAACTCTTTATTGTCTGTAAATCTAACATTATTACTTCCTCTTAGAAGAATATTGTATCATTAGATGTTTGTTTGAGCTGGTAACATCCTTGCGACTGCTGCAATATTTTTCATTAGCAACCTGTATAATAGTTTGTACACAAGTACTGTTCAGATTGTCATGAAAAGTAGCTTTGACCATTTACCTACCAGTAGCAGAATAGTATTTCTGTAAGATTTCCACTGTATTCCTACCATATCATATTTTATTTCTAGAATGTAATTAAACTGCTATTTATTCAAGGAGAAAAAGTATTCCTCTACTTTTTTTGTTTTCCAAATTTTGAGATAACTGAGGAAGCCACGTGATGCTGCTGCTTCATCCCACAATCTGGTGCTCTACGTTTTGTTTATAAGTTTGTCTGTCAGATTCTGAAACAACTGCTTAAACAACTTGACAACAGGTTGTCAAGCTTTGTGGGTTTTAATTGTACGTTGATATGCTTGAAGGAGGAGGTAGATTATATATTTTATATTTGTGTATTCAGTACTATGGAGACAAGAGAGAAATTACATAGTTAAAACCGAATCTCCTGTTTCATTATGTAGGCAATTTCCCCTTTCCTCTGTATTAGCCAAAATGCAATAAATCTCTTTTGCCTTCCTCAGATGCATATGTTTGCACAGAGATGTCACATTAAGACAAACCCATATACTTCAGAAAAACAAAACACAAAAGAGCAGGAGAAAGGAATACAAACTAAAAGAGTGCTGCCAACAGCAACAATGACCTAAATTAGTTCTTGGTGGTTGTAAATATAATCAAAGACTTAGAGTTAGTCTAGTTTTGGCCAGTGGCAATGCGGCAGAGTTACGGGTGGGTGAGGGGAATGATGGAGTGGTCCAACAGACATGCAAACAAGCTGTGCAGGGAGAGCAAGCTCAGCCATGCCACTGCCTACAGGGCACACTAGAGTGCTCCCACCACTGCTCATTCACAACTGAAAGGAAGGGTTGAAAACAGACTTAAGAGTCTCTCTGGGGTCTCACACGACCAATCCAAAACCCATTAAATGCTGTAGAAAGGTCCCTGCTCATTTGAAAGGCTTGGTTTTCTGTATGACTTAATCTCAGATTCATGTTTCTTGGGCAATTTTCCTTCTCCCCATTTGTGATTTGAGAACAGTGGAGGTCCTTAGAGGATATACTGAGCATGTCCTGGGGCCTCGGACCATGGTAGTGCCACAATATTTGCATTATTAAAAATTAGGTCACTGATGAACTGAGAAGTCTTGGCAAAACAAAAGCAACTAGAAATGAAAAATTAGCTTTTAATCTTTAACTGCCTATTACATTTAAAAGAAGAAGTCTGAATATTTCTGCTGAAAGGTGTCATTCCCAAAGCAGCCAGGAGACAATTCCCACTGTATTTGCATGCTCACTAGAAAATAACAGCTATACTGCCACAAACAGACACTTCCTCTTGACACTAACACCTGACTGCCTTTGTACATCTATTTGAAACAACACAAGAGGAAATAATAACAACTTTCCAAACTTTCCAAGTAACTGCTTTCCCACACTATAGCAGTTCAGGCAGCATGCGGGCAAATGTACAGTCATCGTTTCAACCTTTTACATTAGCATCCAGTATTTCTGCTCTTCTGACAGTCACAATATCATCATGCACACACATCATAAAACATCTGTCTTCAGTGAACGTCCAGCTTTGGCTTGATTTAAAAGTTAAATCATAATATTTGGGAACAGGTAATGAAAGAAGGGAAAAAGTCAATTTGCCTGTGTTTAAGAAAGCACAGGGTAGGGGTTTTTATCTGACAGTTTAGAATACGTCTTCCTCTATTCTGCCTTTCTCCATTGGTGTTTGTAGGTAATGGATATAGAGTTTTCTTTAAACAGCAGCATAACACATGAAGTCCATGACTGCCATTAACAGGGCTCCGTAATATGAACAGTCATCTAATGCTAATCTGTAAAATTCAGTTAGGAGGGAAACGGATCATAAACCTAAGGTAATCTTAATGACTAGGTATGGCATATGCATACACTTCTATTGCTTTCCAATAAATCATCTTTGGTATTCAGAGCAGCACTTAGTTTAATGTTAGAGCATATTAAGGTATGGAATCCTGTGTCAGTAAAGTCCCTAAGAAGTTTTTATTGACTTCAGAAGAAATAATACCTTGCCCCAGATTTTCAAACTATCAGTCTGCATTTGGAAAGTGCAATTTTATGTTCCATTATATTTGCATTTTTACTGACATTAAAACAAAGATGAGACAGAATAAATAACAGCCTCTCTATTCATTGGTTTGGGTTTGGTTTTTTTGCCTGCAAAATAATCTATTTTGAGTTCTCATGGGTCAATGCAGAATCATAAAGTCTGGCAGGAGTTCAATGGACTTGTCATGGGAGTGAAGCAATTTATTTATCCATATGTGTGCAGATGGGGTAGAGAACATCATGAACAAAACTGCTCTCAGTAATGCTGACAGAGTCATTTCCTGGCCACTTGCACTGATGCTGTTTTGACACTGTTTTGCTTCTTCTCTTGGTATACATGCACATATGTGTGTGCATGGTGAAAATGGACAACACACATATATAAAAATCTTTCCCCAAAATAAAAAAAAAATCTCTACATGTGATAATAGTAATAATGGTAATAGTAATAATAGTAATGCTAGTAATAATAATGTGAAACAACCTCACAGCCACTAATTTCATGAAGGGGAAACCTCTTCTACCATTTGTAGCCATACCTGGATGGATCAAGCCCTACCATTGCTATCTGAACGATTTCTTCTTTTTCCCAGTGGATCTCACTGAACATCCCTCCAGGGCTCCACACAACAGGGATATCCCACATTCTGCTGAGCTGAAAAGAGGGACAAGGGAAGTGAGCTGGAAACTCCCTGGTTCTTGTTTGTTGCAGGCTGCCCCTGGAGCCACTGTGTAACGTTGTGAGGACTCCCCCAGAGTGTCCCTGTCCTTTAAGGCAGGGCTTGGTAGTTGCTGTAAGCTGGCCAAGAGGAGAAACCTCACCAAGAGGAATGAAGACTAATCCTCTCTGGTTGAAACTCTGAAAAAAAAGGATTTAAGACATAGCAGGGTAATGATGCTGAGGTGGGGACCTGCTATGTGTCATTTCTTAGTTACGCAACAAGAATTAGGGGTATCATTTTAATAGAGGAACGTGGGGAACTCTGCAGGCTATGGATCCATCCAGTAAATACTCCTCCCAAACCTTCACAAGGGTAATAATAAATGCTGTAAGGCCTTTCAGCAGCAGCCTGGGGAAAAAAAATATAATTATTGTCTCTGCAGTGCTTAACTTGCAACCTAATTCAAAGTCATTTTTAAATTATACACCTACCTGCTACCAATGCAGTCTGAGTAGGCAAAATTAATAACAGGCATGCTCAGTAAATCCAAGGTTTAAAGCTTTAGCTAGAATGTTAATGTCTAAATTGAGTAATACTATCAGTCATGAGAATTACAGTTATCTGCCTCCTTATCTTTTCCTATTTATTTGAGGGGTTTTATTTATTCTTCTTGTAGCACTAGCAAGGTCTGACAGCTCTGGCAGAGGGAGGGATATTCTCTCTGCATGCGGTCAGTGGTGCTGCAAAGCTGCCTGCAGCAGCAGGGTCAGGGCACCCAGGCACTGCAGAACACTGATCTGGACAAGAAGGCAAAGAAAGAGGATTAGCCAGTTCACAGCAAGCCTAGTAAGAATGAGAAAAGAGCAAAGTCTTCCGGGGCACAGCTCCCTACTGAATCACATCCTATATCCCCTTACAGCTTAGCAGGTGCTGGGTGGACACTACTGCAGGGGAAGGAAAGCTTCAGGTTCACACCCCCACTCCCACCTTGGTAGCTGATACGGGCTCCTTGGCAGGGAGATGGCCAAAATTGTTTGCACCCAAGCCTTAGAGCCCATGCGAGACACTTGCAAAGGGAGCTGACTTTTTCCTGCCTGTGCTTCATCATCCATAAGCGTGAACTGTGCATAGTTTGAACATCTGCTTTTTTACCTCAAATAGCTCTTTAAGAAAACCTTCCACTTTGAGCTTTGGTGTTCCTGACTCGGGATGAAGGAGCTGATCAAAATGTGGCTATGTGCACTTGATAAAAACCCACACACATCTACAGTCCTTAAGGATAGATTACAGGAAGTGTTGCTTAACAGTGGAATGTCATAAAAGACTCAAAAAAGGACCATATTATCTGCCTACAAATTGGGCATTTAGCCCAAATAGTTTTCTATGCAAGGGATACATGCACATAAACCATTTAACCTCATTTTCCCCTATGAAAGCTGAGGGTCTAGTTTAGCTTAGTTAAAAGACTGAGTTACTTCACTCAACAGCAGTGCAGGCAGTGCTTGCATCTGGTGCTGGAAAGGACCACTGCTATAGTGACCCAAAGCTGACCTCCTAAACAGATGTCCAAGCTGAAACCTTTTGGGTTCTCTCATTCAAGACATTCAGCTCTGATTTGAGGTGAGAGTGTCCATTATTTCATTTCATTTCTTTTTAATCCAATTCAAAATACCACTGGGCCCTGTATGCTGCAGGTGCTTTATTTTATTACTGCGGGCATGATGAAGCTACTGGCTACCATAAGAAAGGACAGAGGGGGCCTTCAAACTCAGTGCCGCTCTTTTCTTACACTTTTGCTCATTGCCCTTTGCTGATTACGCGAGGTTTTTCAATAGCTGTTTGGGATCTAATTTTAGGTGCTGTGTCAGCTGGCCCCTGCTGAGACTTAAATCCTTCTGCTATCTATGAAAGTGTCAACAGAAGTCTCAAAAAGGAACAGGGTGCTTGCCTTCTAGAGAGCAGTGTGGAGGTGGGAATGAATAGGAAGGTGTTTCTTGAGGAAACTGAGCATGGCAAAGCATGAGAACATAGGCTGATGTATGTTTTCTTTGGTCCCTTGCCCTCCGGCAGCTTGTTCCTTCTCCTCTCTGTGCTGCCTCCTCCAGAGCGCCAACACAAGTGCTTGCTGGTGAGACAGATCCAGCTGAACCGATCCAGGTAAAAAATAACTTATTTTTCTTTTTTTTGATGTTACACCTGACAGATCACTTCCAAGCCCCACGACCTGAGTTTCGGAGCTTGGAACTGGCACAGAATTTGTCTCATGAGCATCTTAACAGCTACATCAAAGCAGGTTCCTGCTGTGCCAAGCATTTAACGGGACTTCAGGGTCTTCTTGTTTGTTATCAGAACAGTCTAAAAGTGTTCTGCACTTCCAAACAGGAGCAGTGAGGGAAACCTAAGTTTCAGAGCCCACTGAAGCACCAGAACTGAAGGGATGCATCTGTGTTCTTCAAAGGCAAAGTCCTCACTAGAGGACTAAGAGCTAAGAAAACTCTCACTAGAACTAAGAAACCTCTCCCCATTCTTAGTGCCAATGACTTTGCTGTCATGAATAAGATTTATTTCTTTTTTTTAACAAAAGTAAACACTGGGATTGAAAATTTCATTTGTCTTTTCCTTCTCTTGGAAGATACCTGTGCTCTTGTTGAGTCTTCGGAAATTCCCCTATTGAGTCTTTAGAAAAGCCGTAGGTCGGTGGGCAGAATGCAAGTCATTCCTCCTGCTACTAGCCACATGGACAACTTGCCAGGGGAGCACCTTG